AGGAGAGACAGCCAGGAAAGAGAGGAGAGACAGCCAGGAAAGAGAGGAGAGACAGCCAGGAAAGAGAGAGCAAGGGGAGGTTTTTTTTTCCCGTTGGTAGATCTCATGTAGCTCGTCATTTGAAAAGTAGATCTTAACACAAAAATGGTGGGCACCCCTGGTGTAGACATTTTAAGCATTCACAGGATAGAATGTACTGACACTTCTTGCCTTTTAGTTTTCGATAAAACAGAATTCCATATATATATATGACCATCTAAAAGTTGCATTCTAAAATAGAGCATGGCTTACCTATGGCTGGTGTATAGTTTCTTTCTTGAAGTGGTCTTGGATGATATGCTTGTAAATTCTGTTTGATATAAATAAGCAGGGATAAATTTATACCCACAGTTCACGAAAATAACAGTGAGCCTGTAAGCAATAAAAATATGGGCACTGCCATTGCTGACCCCCTTTTAAACCCCAACCCTGGGCTATGTAGACTTCTCCTATATGGGCTCCCCTCCACCAGAGGCTCCCCCCTCCCCACAAGTATTTTGTACTTTTTAGTTTAAAAACCTATACCCTGACAGCAGGCAGTAGAGAAAAAGCCTTGCTTTCTGTGTGGATGCTGCCTGTAGTTTCTCTGCAAAGGTCCGACATGTTCCCTGCAGAGTCAGAGCTCTTTATTCAGCAGGTAGCATATGCTTAACAGTTTGTTGAGCTGTAGCTCTGATTCAGTAGGGGGTATGTCAGACTCTGCAGAGAGACCACTGCTTACACACAGGAAGAAGGGGCCTTCTGTGCAGCTGCTGGAAGGGGAAAGGCTTTTCTACTCAGGCTGTGGCTGCTTTAGAAACTTTAAGACATTGAACACCGTTTTGTTTGGATGCACCTGGAATGTATTTAGTTGATTTTAAAGTTCAGTTAGGAAAGTTTGTGAAAAGGACACCTCTCATATTCGTATACCCAAACTCATCAGTCCCGTCCGAAAAGCCAGGTGGCGGCCAACAGAGGCACAGCACAGCGGCCACTAGTAATCCAATGTATGTAAAGCCGCACTCAGCAGCCAGGACCTCGATGTAAAAAAGTTTATTTCCAGGAATCTAAACTGTTACAAGCATAACAAGACCCACACAGACTCTGACATGCTTTCCTGAAAAGAATCTTGTTTATGCTTTTAACTAGGGATGCACGGATACCGGTTTTTCGGTATAGAGTATGAGTACCGATACTTATACTTCGGTACTTGTCGATACCAAGTACCGTTACCGGTACTTCCGGTAGTATAGAGCCGTCTTCCCGGGCAATCAGGAAGGCTTCTTGATTGCCTGGGAAGCCGACTCCATTCTGTTTGGCCAGCTGGATGCTGATTGGCATCGAGGTCGGCCAAACAGATCTGAAAATATGGTGACACGACTGGGCACCCGGCAGGCACCTAATTCCCCTCACATAAATCCTTAGCCACATTCATTAACGTACCAGTCCCTCGGCCAGCACTCTTCAAAGTGGGCAGACACCGCACTCCAAGATCTCCCCACGTCTCCTGTGTACAGCGCTCACGTGATCGGCGCTCAGCCTGCTACTGCGCAGACTGCCCAGCGCTCTCATTCAGAAATCCTGTGCATGCGCAGTAGCAGGCTGAGCGCCGATCACGTGAGCGCTGTGCAGTGTGCACACAGGAGACGGCAGATCTGGCCGAGGGACTGGTATGTTAAAGAATGCTTAGTATCTATGTGAGGGGAATTAGGTGCCTGTAGGGTGGGGGTCGTGTCGCTATGGTATTAGATTTGTTTGGCCGGTTTGACACCGATTGGATGGGAATAAGCATTGAGCAAGCCAAACAGCATGGAGTCAGCTTCCCGGCTCCATCTTTTCTTGCGGCACTGCCGGTCAGAGGGAAATCTCCCTCTGACTGGATGTTCTAGTATCGGGAAAGGTATCGGAGCATTTGGGCGAGTACGAGTACTCGCCCAAATACTCGGTATCGGCACAGATATCGATACTAGTATCGGCGCATCCCTACTTTTAACGGTTTAGATTCCTGGGAATACATTTTTTTACATCGAGGTCCTAGCTGTTGAGTGTGGCTTTACATACATTAAACATCAGTTGGGCTCTAAGTTTGTCATTACCCCCCTGGCGGTATGATTATCTCAGTATTTATTGTTTTCTTTCTATTTTTTACTGTTGAATTTCTCTCAGGTTCCGTCCCCCTGCAATGCCGGCGCTCGCAGGGAAGGAACCCGGAAGACGCCCGAGTGTGGCTCGGGGTTACCGCTTTTGGTACGGAAAATTTACCCCCGAGCCACACTCGGGATTACCGCCAGGAAGGTTAAGTGGCCCACCCATGAGAAACAACTGACTAACTTCCTAATTGTTATCTGGTTATTGTTCAAATCTTGATTGAGGAGTCACTTTTCACCACCAGTTCTTTATAGTGCAGGCACAGAGAGAAGTATAACCTTAGATGCTTTTGCATCTACTGCATCTGTTAGAGTTAATTAAACTTCTACCAGTACCTCTATATCTAAGGCAGAGCTGCAAAAAACAGCAAAGAGGCATTTGGACAGAGAAAAGCTTTTCTTTCAGAAGTGATTCTAAAGTTTAGCAGTAGGTGGGAATGAAAGTCATTCATTATTTTTACCTTATGAAACAGCTGTTCATGATACAGAGCTACAAACTCAGCATTTCCTGATGACTTTCCCCACCTGCTGAACAGGTTTAGAACCAGGCCTGAAAAAGAAACAGAAGTCTAATAGAAAGAGGGATGACCAAAGCAGCACTCACACCAACAGTAGTTAAAGGGAACCTGTGCTTTGTCCATAATGCACAAAGTAACAAGTTCCCTTTAATGCAGGAACCCTTAAGGCATGACACTGCCCCTGTCTCTCTACAATGCAGTTTGTGAGTGGTGGATGACCAAAAGACAAGTAAATCCCCAGTAAGCTGAAATTAAGGCATACAGCCAATTACATAACTGTGCTAGAGTTAAGAAATTAAGTGGTGACAGTTCCCTGCCGACAGCCAGTTGACTGGACAATAAAGGAGCAACAACACAAGTTATTAACTCTCCTCACTGTGCTTCCTTCTCCTGCCAATATGTTCCATGTCAACATACAGTGTGGAAAATAATTTTTTGATCCCCTGCAGATTTTTTATCATAGGTGTATTTTCAATGATAGAGACAGACTATCAACCAGAAATCTAGAAAAAACACATGATACAAATGTTATAAATTGAGTTGTAGTTCAGCGAATAAAATAAGTATTTGATCCCCAAGCAAACCATGACTTAGTACTTGGTGGAGAAACCCTTGTTGGTAAGATGTTTCTTGTAGTTGGTTACCAGGATTGCACACATCTCAGGAGGGATTTTGGTCTACTCTTCTTTACAGATCTTCTCTAAATCCTTAAGGTTACTTGGCTGTCGCTTGGCAACTCGAAGTTTTGCTCCCTCCATAAATTTTCTGTAGAATTAAGGACTAGAGACTGGCTAGGCCACTCCATGACCTTAATGTGCTTCTTCTTGAGCCACTGCTTTGTTGCCTTGGCGGTTTGTTTTGGGTCATTGACATGCTGAAAGACCCATCTTCAGATTTCTGGCTGAGGGAAGGAGGTTCTCATCCAAGATTTTACAATACATGGCCCCTCAATGCAGCAAAGTCGGCCTGTACCTTTAGCAGAGAAACAGCCCCAAAGCAGGTTTACACCTCCGTGCTTGACTGTAGGGATGGTGTTCTTAGGGTCATAGTCAGCATTTTTCTTCCTCCAAACACGGCGAGTCCTGTTAATGCCAAAGAGCTCAATTTTGGTCCCATATGACCGCAGCACTTTCTCCCAATCCTACTCTGAATCATTTAGATGTTCATTGGCAAACTTCAGACGGGCCTGTACATGTGCCTTCTTGAGGAGGGGGACCTTGCAGGCGCTGCAGGATCTCAATCCATGGCGGTGTATTGTGCCTTGAGATCATTCACAAACGCCTCCCGTGTAGTTCTGGGCTGATCCCTCACTTTTCTCATGATCGTCCTTACCCCATGAGGCGAAATCTTGCATGGAGCTCCAGACCGAGGGCGATTGATGGTTATTTTGTATTCCTTCCATTTGCGAATAATCGCTCCAACAGTTGTTTCATTCTCACCAAGCTTCTTGCCGATAGTTTTGTAGCCCATTTCAGCCTTGTGCAGATCTACAATCTTGTCCCTAATGTCCTTTAATAGCTCCTTGGTCTTGCCCATGGTGGTGAGGTTTGAATGGAAGAAAGAGATTCTGTTGACAGGTGTCTTTTGTATACATAATGAGTTGCCGTTAGGAGCACCTTCTTAAAGTGACAGGACTAAACTCTGTACCACATAGTCAGTATGTGGGAGGAGCCAGAATTGTTGTTGGTTGGTAGGGGATCAAATACTTATTTTACTCACTGAACTGCAATTCAATTTATAACATTTGCATTATGTGTTTTTTCTGGATTTTTGGTTGCTATTTTGTCTCTACCATTTAAAATACACCTATGATAAAAATTATAGACCTTTCATTTCTTGCAAGTGGGCAAACTTACACAATCTGCAGGGGATCAAATACTTATTTTCCTCACTGACCTGACAACTAAGTGTGAAAGCCATATATCACACCCAGAGTATGTGATTTACATTTCAAATGGCCAAACATACAAAAAGGATGGACTCACCTGATTAAATCTCTTAAACACAATGTCTTTCAGAGAATCCAAGCATCGGCTTTTCAGGTCCATCTCCTGAATCTGACTGTATCTAGCAGCACTTAACAGTGCCTATAAAAGAGACATAAAAAAGAAAAAATCCCATGAAATGCTACAAACAAGAACCCTTGTCACTGACTCCTAGGGTGATGAATCACTTTTATACTGTGCGTTTTCCTAAATTGAAAATGGAGAGGTGCATTTCCCATGTTAAGCAGATATATTCCACAGTGGTTCAGCAGAGGTTTTAATTGGCATCAGCCTACTCCATAAAAATAAATTGATATCTATCTATCTATACACACACACATACACACACGAGCAATCTTTTTCAGAAAAACTGCCGCCAAGTACTTTAGCACTTTTTTTTTTAAAATCACAAAACAATATAAAGCAGAATGCCCTGCTCTGATGACTTTGCACCTAAGTGACTACACCAAATAATGCAAAATTAAACAACTCATCACAATGCTCGATAAATACTAGCCACTTCTGGACATGGTGGGAACTCATGAAGCACCCCCACTGTGCATATAAATGTACACACTTCTCAGCATGTGAGCACATGTGCAGCTCAGTGTACAGTACAATCTAAACTAATCTACTAACAGACAAGTGAGAAGCATTTAAAAAAAGTATTACTTCTTGCAATTTATTTTCAAGATGCACTTTAAAGTGTATCTAAACTAGGGATGCACCGATACCCATCCTAGTATCGGTATGGGTGCCGATACCAAGTATTTGGGAGAGTACCCATACTCGCCCAATGCTCCAATACTGGAACTTCCGGTCAGAGGGAAATCTCTCTGACTGGTAGTGCCGAAGCAGCATGGAGCTGGCTTCCTTTCCAATCAGGAAGCGGGGCAATGGGCTATGACCTGCCTCCCCTTTGGCTAGGGAGCCGGCTTCACTTGTTGCTAGGCAGCCTGGCGGCACCTCACAACTCACCTCCCTGATTAGTCTGGAAGCCAGGCTGCCGAGCAACAAGTGAAGCCAGCTTCCTAGAAAATCAGGAAGCCGGAAGGGGATTCATAACATGCTGCCCGGCTTCCTGCTTGGCTAGGAAGCTGGCTTCACTTGTTGCTAGACAGCTTGGCTTCCTGTTCAATCAGGAAGCCGGACAGCACCAGCAAGTGAAGCCGGTGTTCTTTCGATAGAACACCCGCTTCCCATGCAATCAGGTCATGATCCGCTGCCCAGCTTCCTGATAATCGGGGCACACGGTACCTGTATCGGTACTCAATACCGAAAAAAAGGTATCAGTGCATCCCTAATTTGAACCCAAGAACATAAAAGTAGTACATTGCAGCGTAGCAGTCCTTAGATGTCATGGCTGAATTAGTTTTCTTTTTTCCCCCCCCTATATTACCTGGAGATCCTAGGGTGACAACACTTATAAGCAGTGTTGTCACCCTAGGTCAGGTAATGTGCAGAACCCCCCCATTGTTATGGAGGGGGGTATTCCTTAACTCACAGTTGAACTGGGCAGGGCAGGAAACACTGCTTGAAATTTGCACAGGAAGGTACAAGCACATTTGATTTCTGGCAGGAAGAAAAGATTTTTTTTTGCGTTGCACTTATCAAAACATATATAAGAAAGTGCCTTCAATGTTATATTTGACAGACCAAAATGGAACCAAAGAGAAGTTTATGGTTAAGGTTTACATGCACTATACAGCATAGATGGATGCCCCTTACTCCTTAAAGGGGATAAGGAAGCATATATAAAACCTGCACACATAAAAGCTATGCAATAATTCAGAGAACCTAGACTCTCCTATTAGGATTCCTTGAAATGGGTCACACAGCCTCAAAAACACAAGGTAATAGAAATATTGCCTTGTTGGTACAAGCTAAGCATGGCTATTTCTCAATAAGAAACTGAAGTACATACTTGACACAAGACAGGCCGGAAGGTACGTGAAAGATTCGTAAAAAAGGCATAAGGTGTCTGGGTGTGGTACACAACAAAGGTAGGCTTGTACTGATTGGGCTTCATACTAGTTTGACCCCAAGCTAAGCGGATCCACATGGCTTCTCCAAAATCTTTGAAGTGGATAGTTACCTAAAAGGAAGGGAAACAGAAAAAAAAAATGTATTTCTTTTAAATGTATAGCCTTTTGCTCATATAAGGAAACATGGAGGTTATCATGCTTGACTACCTTCCAAAAGGGCTAGTAGCTAATTGAATGCTGGCTGAATACTTTGAGTAAGCAACCTAAAATAGTCTCAGAAAATCACTATAGCTGCCAGTCAACTAACATTTCATAAGGAAGTCAGCAATGGTAGCCCCTGCATCTCTTTAAAGCCATGTTTGCCTTTAAGCAATTTCCCATCAAAGTCTCAACAATTCTGCCTTGCTTCCTGTTCCAGAGGCAGACAATTAGTGCCCCTGCCTCAAATATAGTTCTTCTCTTTTGCCTTTTGTGGTGTGTAATCTTGTGCAGCTCACACAGAGTTTACAGCAGTGGCAGCGAGGGCAATAAATAATGTCAGGACTGCGTGTGCAATACTTGTCTTTGGCTCTGCTATGTGTACATTCATGGCAGTAAAAGGTTTGTGACTGTGCTGCTCCAGTCTTTTTATATCACATCACCTAAATCTTTATTAAAGATAAATATATATACATATTTTTTTTATACATTTTATTCAGTGGTCACATGACTGCACAGCCTCATTTGCCTGTCAGTGGAAACAAGGGGCTAGGCTGATGCTGCAATAGGTGTGGCCCTCCACCTCAATTCACAGTGACAATGAGCCAGAGTAAGATTCTGTGGGTGGGAGTGTGGCCGCAAAACGGACAGGAGATACAGACATGCCATGCATTGGCACGGTGTCCTGTAGTTCCTAGCAATAATCCCAGGGAAGCAAACTGGATCTGCTTCCGTGTTTGTGTGATCAGTTTTAAAAAGGAAATAAAGGAAACTGGCAGGATCACCATATATTTAAAAGCAACATACAAAAATAAAACATTACAGACTGCACTTACTCAAAAGTCAATGAATAACCACAGTTATATGTGGATTCTTAATATTTGGGGTAATATACATTTTATTAGAGAACATCATACATAATACATTTATACTAAACTCAGGAGTTACACCTTAAAAATACAGTCAAATACCTCAACTATTAACAAAAAATGTATCTTATTTGTACATCACTCAGCTGTAGATCCTCAAATCATCTCTGAATTGGTGCCGACACTGTCCTTCCTTCTGGAGGGTGATTATATTTGTTCCCCATGGTCCCTGTGTGTGTTGTAAAGTATCTCACGCCTGTGATGGACTACAATCCCAATAAATAAAAATGAGTAAACTAAACGCGAGATTGTAGCCTATCACAGGAGCGAGCTTGGAGTAGTGGATCATTTACAACACACACAGGGACCATGGAGAATAAAAATAGCCCCCCTCCAGAAGGAAGGACAGTGTCAGCAACAATTCAGAGATGATTTGAGGATCTACAGCCGAGTGATACACAAATAAGATCCATTTTTGTTAAAGGAGAACTATGAGGTGAGTGCTTTTCACTCACCTCATAGTTCTAGCCAACCTGTGACAATGAGACTGTCACAGGTCGGCTCAGTAGATCGGGATGTGAGCGAACACATAATGGCGTTCACTCACCTCTCGATCCTGTCACGGCTCTCTGCCGTGACGGGGGAGGGGCTGGATTCCCCCCTCCGCCAGCGCTGACTGGCGGAACGGACGGGGGAGGGTACAGCTGGCTCTGCCTCTAGATAGGCAGAGCCAGCTGTCAGTCACGCAGCTGGGCGGATCTTGGCATAATTGTCAGGATCCGCTACAGCGTCTCAGTATACCGCGAGCAGCAGCTTGCGGTATACGGAGCCTAGGGTGACAGGAGCAAAATAGCAAAACGTTTTCCTGGCACACTCACAAGCCAGCATGTAAAGAAACTTGTCTCACACCAAGGTTAAAAACAGAGGTTTGGATACACGTCTTCTGCAGAAAATTTGAAAGCCGCACAGCCACGACAAGGCACCTCTCATAGTGCGGTCCTAACTCTAAACTATCAGAGCCTCCATCTTGGAGCACAGAGCCTCCATCTTGGAGCACATGGGACGCTAGTTTGTGTCCTCCCGTTACCCTAAGGAGAACTATGGGGAAAAGCCTTAACCCCATAGTTCTCCTTTAATGGTTGAGGTCCTTGAATGCATTTTTAAGGTTTAACTCCTGAGGTAAACCTTTAAACATAACTGCCTGGTAAGCAATGCGTGTTAGTTACGCAGAATTTCTAACATATTTGATGGCCATGATGAAATGTTTACTCTGAAGAACGTTATAGAATATTAAACCTTGTACCATCTTACATTTTTCGTAACTGCGTGGATGGCCTTTTTGAACCGTACTTTGAATTCCGACACATCAATGTGATTCATTTCAGAATCTGCAGAGAAAATAAAAGTTAATCTTTGATAGGAAAATAATATTTAAAATCACAAACTTTGGGCTAAGCGTGACTCTTGCAAGTGTGGGAAGTAGGAAATTAGGGTTAAAGTGACATTAAGGGCAAAAGCCCCCCCTCCCCCCCTACACACACACTGCTAATGTAAGGACTTACCTTAACCAGTTGACATCCGCTGCGTTAAACCCCCTTCCCATCCAGGCCATTTTTCAGTATTCAGCGCTGCGGTACTTTGACTGACATTCATTCAGTCAAAGTTCAGTCAAAATTTATTCGGGGTCACGTCGGGTAAAAAGACACTAAACATGTCAAGCCTTAAAATTGCGTGCGCGCGCGAAACCTCAAAAAACGATAATACCCAAAATTGGCCATAGGCGACGCTTTAAAAGCTGTTACCGCTCATCAGTTTAGTGTTATCAGTGATTGATGGCCCTAAAATGATTGCTCTCACTGCGACGTTCGCGGCGATATGTAACATGTGTAGCGCAATTGTAATTTTTGCGCGCTGGGGCACCGGGCGCGTATTTACGTTTATAGGCGCGTAAACGTGGGGGTGGGGGAGTTAAGCATTTTGGGGGTTTTTTTTCCACTTTTTTTATATGTGACTTTTATTTTTTTTATTTATATATATTTTTTTTGCACTTATTGTTATTGCTATTATACTGTATAGGGGGACAACAATCCCCCTATATAATAGCAAAGGCACACTGACAGGTCCTCTTTATGGAGACATTAGGGGTCTCTAGGACCCCTAATGTCACCTGTGGACCCCAAAAGAAGCTGATGAAGCAGAGATCTGCTTCATCAGCTTCTTTTCTCTGGCTATAGCAGCCAGATGACTGACAGGTGAATGCGGAAGTGATGTAACACACATCACTTCTGCATTCACAGCCCGGAGGGAAACAGCAAGGAGCTGATCTCCCGTCCTCCTTCTCCTGACGCCCTCCGAGCCGGTCCCGGGTCGCAGATGGGGCAGCAGATCCCGGGATTGCAGGTGAGGTGTCAGGGGGGGGTGCAAAAAAACGGCGGCGGCCGCCGATCGTCTATATGTGAAACACCCGGTAACGGGTGTTTGCATTGATCGGGTCCCTTCTGCCCGTGCGTGCCCGCTAGGGGGCGCGCACCAGCAGAAAAAAAGTGTCGTCTGGAGACGGCAACCCGCCAATGCAGCAGTGCCGTCCATTTTTTTACAACGGGCGGACGGCAAGTGGTTAACTGATGCCTCTTAATCCAATCTTCTTCTTTCTTGCAGTTTTCAGCTGTCCCCTCTGTCCCACGGAGTCTGTGCGGGTGCACGCTGCTCCATAGACTTACCTTGTGTCTCTCCTCGTCTCCCGGCTGAAGATCTGAACTGCGCATGCCCACGTCCCAAGATCCTTTGCACCCGCCCGAGAAATTTTCAGATGTTTGGACGGGAGCGTGCGGCGGAGACACAGGTAAGTATTAACCCTTTCAAAAAGGGTTTAAAAAAAAAAATCGTTTTGCATATATCTACTGCTTGGTAGCCGTAGATATATGCAAAAAAACAATGAGGGTTTAATAACCCTTTAAACATATCACATAAATAACTACCTGTTGGCTTAGTCATCTGATAAACATCCCAAGTCCTCTTTTTTCCATTGGAGTGATTATCTGTAGAAGGTGGATACAAAAAAGTTGAGATTGCAGGCATTTAAATATCATGTTTATTTCTATTTTGTCCGATACAAATTGCAGTTTAAAAGGTAAATTCAATTCTATTAAAAACCTGACAATTGAAATCTGGATGTAAAATGAACCATTCTCTCAGGGTCTCCGTTTTAGTGCCTAAGGCGGATATCTACACGCTGGTGTGTCTGCACAGTATCAGTGTCCTTTAATAGACATGAACATACTATGTTCTATGTATGTACTAAGTCCCTGCAACCTACAGGGATACAAACAGTGTATTCGTTTCCAATGCAAGTTATAGGTGCATTAGCATGAAGATGTTAACTCCAGACACTGCTGGGCCAAACAAGCAAAAAGAGGGGTCAGTCTCATGTCACTACTTCCATTGACAAAAGTAACCAGGTGAGCAGTTAAAAATAGCTTCAGTTACCCTTTCAAGTGAACACATTTTGTCCATTCAGGGCAAGGCACCAGGTTTAGTAATTACTCGCCTTTCTCCCCGCCCACTTCACCACTGCAGCCCAGAGAAAAGCTCTGTACATTATGAGTTGGAGCTTACACAGGCCTGTCCCAGTGCTTGAAAATAGCTATTGCCCACTCTAGCGCTGCATCCTGAGAGGAAGTCATATGTGTAATGGAACAGAGCGGTGTGAACCAGCCCCATTCACACCCATTTAATTTTCGATGCCCTTCTGTTAGCATCCATTGAAAAACAGATCCGGTGTGAATGGGACTAAAAGGTAATTTACAAAAAAAAAAAACTGACTCCCTTTTAGGATTACTAAAGCTGGCCATATACCTATAGATTATCTGCAGACTTTCTATGGTCAGATGGACAAAGTGCAACAGATTCCTCCATCTACGCTAAACTGTGTGGATGGAGGAATCTCCCACTGGGTCAAGCTTCAGTATCTTGCTTGTCAGCCCCGCTGGCTCTCAAAATACCTGAACAATCTGATTGGATGCAGGCAGGGTTCAGGGGACACCGTGCCGCACTCTCAGGGTTCACTTGCAGCACTTGCGTAATATTTTAGTACTTCCCATTACAGGATTTATGCCTAACAGGCCAGGATTTCCTATAGTAAAAGCAGCTCTGATCTGTGCCCACCAACTACATCATCTTGCATAATTAAGCAAATCCTAAAAAACTGCCTTAAAGTGATATTAAAGCCTCTTTTTCTTATATATTTCCTACAAGGAGACCAACCTTTGATTTAGGCTGTTCCCGTTTTTCTTTAAAAGTTTTGAATTCCTAGTTTTCTAGTGGGTCACCGCATCAATCATCCCCCCTTGCACAGGTGCCTCCGTCGGCTAATGGAGGCACCCGTTCGCGCCATCAGTGGCTGTGTGCGTTCGTAGACACGCCCCTCCTCTCCGCCAAACAGTTTGATTGATGGCAATAGGAGCCCATGGGGAACGTAGGATCGCTTTGGGACCTGCGGCGGGGACGAGGGGAGAAAAAAGGTACAGGGCTGTTTTTACCCTAATGCAGAGATGTTGAAAATCAAACCAATAGGAAAAAATTGCAGAAAATTCAAAAATGGCTTGGCCAGCTGATTTGAAAAATGTTCCAGAGGGCTTGGCAGCGAAAGGGTTAAGGAAAAAAATGCCAAGACCTTAATACTACTTGACTACAATGGGTTTTTTCGGTCTACAGAGCAAACTTTTCAGTTTGAAGCCATTAATTGGGCCGCTCTTCCTACTTGTAAAAAGAAAGCACAATTCCTCAGCAATGCGACAGTTAAACCAACACCACTAAGGATTTTAGCAGCTTGATGGGTTATACATCCAGACGCAGATGATGAATGCCAGTGTAAAAGTTACAGCCATTCATCAGGTAGCCACACTCCAAGTCTGTGCAGATGCAGAAACTGTCAGTTTAACTGGAGCGTTTCATTAAAAAGGAGAACTATGAGGTGAGTGATTTTTACTCAACCTCATAGTTCAAGCCGACGTGTGACAATGAAACTGTCACACGTCAGCTCATTAGATCGGGAAGTGAGCGAACACATACCGTCGCTCGCTCACTTCTCGATCATGTCCCTGCAGAGAGCCGTGACCTTCACTCATGGGTCTCTGCAGGCATTCCCCCTCCCCCCCAGCGCTGACTGGTGGAACGGACGGGGGAGGGTACAGCTTGCTCTGCCTTTAGATAGGCAGAGCCAGCTGTCAATCACGCACCTGGGTGGATCTCGACAATAATATCGGGATCCGTCCTGGCTACGGCGGTCTCAGTATACCATGAGCTGTAGCTCGAGGTATACTGAGCTTTGGGTCACGGGAGGACGCTAGTTTGTGTCCTCCCATGACCCTTATGAAAACTATGGAGAAAAACACTGACCCCATAGTTCTCCTTTAAATCAAGAGATTAAGAAAATGCATAGCGCTAAACAGAGACGTATGACTAAGACACATCTGCCTCAACTCAAAGGGTCATTTTCCGTTTCTGAGAGATGCAACCCTTTTATTGTGAAGGTAAAAAACTGATCTCAGGTTCATATGATGGTAGTTCAGCTCTTATCTAAAAACAGTTAAGAAGCAGCTCTGAAGAAACAACTTACAGATGATATCTAAATCTGCCGCGTGATTTAGTGTAGCCTGTTTTGCCTGGAGAGAGGGGAAAACAAAGTGGATGTTTAGAGAAATCAAACAAGCACATTAAAACACCATATAATGTGGACTAACCACCAGCATTTGAATAAAACCTGTGCCAAGAGAATTCCCGGCATCACATGAGATCAGCAGCCACATCTCCAAAGCATATAACTTTTCAAAGCTCACAAAAGTACATGAGCTTGGGGCAAAGTCGTGTGTTTTGGCCAAAAAAGACTTAAAAAAAGGAGTGCCTAAAACGCATTCCTAAACATGCAAAAAAGCCTGTTCAAGCAGAATGGGCAAATACATATAGAGGGACTGAAAACGAAATGTTATTTCAGGCTCCATTTCATGCCCAAAACCTAGGCTGTGGTCTTGTGATCTCTGCTGAAGGAAAAGGTTGGGGAAATCAGCTTTCTTGCACTCCGATTCTTCCCTTCAGCAATCACTGAAGCAAATGCCTCGGTATTGATCCAACCAACACAGAGAAGGGTTTTCTCCAGGAAAATTAAGTATTTATTTATTCAGCAAAACGTAGCATTATACATCTGAATATATTAAACCATGTATAGCCAAAACAATTGTTTTAGTTTTGGATAAAATAGGGAAGGGTTAAAACCCTTGCCAGTTTATTTTTTGCTGTCCGTGTACCCTTGGGGATATTTCCCTTCACATCCTGCCCTAGGGATGCAACAGGAAGTTAGGAGAAACCCCTGAAAAGGGAGGGGAATTCCCCTCTTAGACAAATGTTCCCAGAAGGGTGTCCAAACTGGAAGATTTCCCCTTACCTCTTGTTCTGGAGTCAGCTCTAAAACTTTGTACTTCCACTCGCTTTCTAAGTAATAATGGTGACCAACCAGTACAAATAGGGGGTTTACTCCCCTAATGGGGTCACAGCAATAAAGATTTGAAAAAGAGTCTAACCATTTAGGCATTTTCTTTTTCTATCCCCAAAAAATAATAATAAAAAGATACATTACTGGGCATGGTGATTAGGTAGGAGCACTGTGATTTGTGCACTGTTACCCGGGCTGCAAACATTGCATACTTATGATTACTGCATTAAGCTCCTGTGTTGTGTCACTTTAAAGCAGACCCGCACCCCCCTTTCTATCCTTGCGCCACACATCCCAGGAGGCTTTAAGGCAATCTGCAACACACTGCTCATGCACGGTGTCATCAGAAGGGAAACTGCAAGAACCCAGAAAAGACGGCCAGCTCACGATGAGGTAAGAAGAGAGGATGGCAGTGTGGGCCTAGGTGTGCTGCAGCAGAGGTGGGTTACAGTAAAACAAGAGGATTACTGAAAATTTTGGAAAAAAAAGTTTTTTTTTACATTATGCTATAAAACAACTAATATTACCCACTTTTTTGGTAAAATATAAAAGATGGGGTCAAGTCGGGTAAATAGACACCAAACATGTCAAACGTAAAAATTGCGCGCACTCGCAAAAAACTAGCATACCCAAAATTTGCCATAGGGAACGCTTTAAAAGCTTTTACCGCTCATCAGTTTAGTGTTATCAGTGATTGATGGCCCTAGAACTATTGCTCTCATTCCGACGTTCGCGGCGATATGTAACATGTGCGGTCGTAATGGGTGCAATCGTCGTCTTCGCAGGTATGCGCACCTGACGCATGTTTACATGCGTGTATGTAGGGGTGGGGACTTTAACCTCTTGCCGTCCGCCCGTAGTAAAAAAAACGGACGGACGGCACTGCTGCATCTGCGGG